CATTATTAATCACAAAGTGATATTAATAAGCCATCTCTTTTTATTACAATTGGTTTTGCTAGATCTAAGAATTCATATTTATAATAAAACAACGGTTATCTACCAAACCTTTGTAGCATGAATAAAATATAAAACATTTTAAATGCTATAATACTATATAATAATTTTTTATGATAATTATTACAAATCAATGAAAAAGACGTTCTCTATTAAATGAAAAATACAATTTTCAAATTTAAATTACATATTATTATATAAAGAATCAATAAAATAATTTAAGGATATGGATTTCTGATAATCAGATTAATATTAGAAATGAATTATTTCATGCATGAATAACTATTTCAATAATTCATCCCTGGAGTGATTAATATTAATATGATTCATATTGAAGAGATATGGACACTCATAAATGAGTGTGTGATATTTTAAAATTAATTTTTTTTTTTTGCAAAATAGGATCAATAATCATAAAATTGATGTAAAAGTTGAGAAGCAACTTATCAAAAGTAAAAACGCTTGAATTAAACCCCAAAGAAATGGAATCCAGACTGGCATAGAAAATTCACCAATATCGTATATTCCAGCCAAAATATAACCTTAAAAACAGGATTGTTTATGTAAATTGTATTAATTATTAATAATTAGAGATAAACTATCAAGAATTGAGAGATACATTGATTGGGCAAAAAGTATTAGACCATTATAAAATCATGATTATTTTAAATTTATTAATGTTTGCCGAAAAAGAGATGGCTTATTAATATCACTTTGTGATTAATAATGGCGATAAACTGTTAAATTCTCATCCATTCATTCATTTCCAAAAAATATTATAAAACTAATCTATCATTTCTGCAAGTGCTGAGTATGGGGCTAAACATTATATTTTAATAATACCATTTTCGTCATTTGTAGAACTCCTAGTTATTATATAATTTAAATTCAATCACATTTATAAAACTAATGTACCGTTCATTTATATAATTTAATTATGATCGCTGTTATATCTGATATTGAAAATATTCTCATTTATTATACTATTTTTTTTTTCTTTTATATACTTTTATCACGATTTATAGTACCAAATGCTTTTTGTCCAGTCAATATACTTACCAATTATTGCACTGTTAATAAATCCCGTTAACAGTGCTATAATAATAAATCCTATTGGAAATAGGAATGACCATCTATATTTACGAAAGACAACCCAAGTCCATAATCCTGCGAGACCATATATGGATGTAAAAAATATTAAGGTCCAAATGGTAGTAAACATCCAAATATCTACAATAACATTTACGAATTTTTTATTACCTTTATAAATGAATGCAGCAAACGAGGAAAAAAAACCAAAACAATCCAAAAAAAAAAACTAACCACTTGCTTGGTATAAATAAGTCCCATTATCAAAAGGCCAATAAAGAGAAGGCCAGGTAGTAATTTCTGACATTTTTCGTTTGATATAAAAATTAAATATATACTGATTAAATTGAATAACAAGTTGGAAGAGTAAATTAACGTACACCCAAATACAGAAATAAATGTTTTGATGACCATGTCATGTGATTTACTTTTATAGACCATTGGGTAACAAAAATTAGCCATATCTGATATCGATATATAAAAAGTCCATAAATTATACACTACAAACATTATAAATCGAGGATTTTTGGAGTATGTCTACAAAATGATGAGTCTGGTTGAGTTCGAGAGTTTTCAATGAACTATATGGGTCAGTACACACCAAATAAAAGATTCGAGACGAATTTTTATTCGTAGATATCAATATTAAATCAATTAAAATTTAAATAAATATTGCGTACAAAATTTATTATGCTAGTATCAGTATGGGTTGTGAATAAATCTCGAGGTAGGAACGTCCCGAGTGCCCCGATCTGTAGATCGTTACACAATTAATCAAAGATTTTTTTTTTTATACGTTTTACAATACTTTTTTCGGAAGCTCGGGTGGCTTAACTCACAAGTAAAGGGGGGCAAATGCACTAAGTAAACTTGTAACCTTCGCTTAGACATATAACATATTCGCTTAATCCAACTTAATCCAACAGCTATCATATTTAATCTGCTAAACAAAATCATGTCTGAAATTATTAAATGTGAAGAATGCAAAGCCACTGAATCTAGTAGATTCCGTCCATTAAAGAACGAAAAATGGAGCCAGGCTGAAAGAAACGGCTTAACAAAGGTAACGTGGGAAGAGGGTATTCTTTTATGCAATTTGTGTTATATAAATTTAGTTGAAAATCTGCTACAAAGGCTTAAAAAAAATACTAAATGAGTAAAAGTCTCTGTTGAAAAAGCAGATGATGTAGTTGGGAATGAAGTAGAAGCTAGAGAAGAAGTTTCATATTATGTAGAAACTTTAATGAAAGATGTAGAGGATGTAGATACGATTTGTCTCATTGAGGTTGTTGAGACTATGGCGAGAATCTTCTATGAGAGGGAGCACGTAAAGAAAGAATGACCTATATATTCATACAATGAATTGAGGAAAGTATTTCAAGCAGATAAGAATCTTAACAATTTTCTTGACCAACTTTATTTAGTAGCAAAGTTCCTTGAGCACGGTGAGAAAACCATAGATCATATAAAGAAATTAATCATTCACATTTGTTATCTTCTTGCGTTATTAAACAATTCAAAAATTAATTCTTTTAAGTTCGATGTAGTATTTTATTTGGATTCTGTAGGTATGAGTAACGAAGGCTTAGATATGTTAGCAAAACTTGGTGTAACTACAATGTCAAGAGCAGTGGATCAAAAAAAGAAAAAAATTTCTGACGCCTATGAGGAATATGTGAAAAATTCTCTTTTAAAATATCCAGGCAATACTTTCATGTTAAATGTTGATGATTATCACAATATCCATATTCCACAGCAGTTAGACTCTACTAGTACGTCTCGTCTAGCACACATAGCAACTATTATAGCAAATCTGTGTCCTGTATCAGCAATACCACGTAATGGAGCACTCAACCCCAAAATTATTGATGATGAGCTAATAATAAAACATCTTGATAAACGGTTTATTATAAACCTTGGCATTCCGTATAATGAGTGTAAACTGGGGCATACAGGTAAGTGCTCTAATGATGAGGTAATAGAGAGACTAATATTACATAGTTACAATGATAGGTTAGTGGAAAAAAAAGACGATCAGCATATCTAGAATACAATTCTTTTTGATTTTGTCAAAGGCAATTTGAAAAATATGAAAAACTATACAAATGCACTTCGAATTGTGCATAATCAAAAATTAATGCAAAGATACCTTTCCGACCACATAATTCCCGTCATTACAGATTGGACTGGTCAATTTTTTATTCGTAAGGCCATCATGTATTGGCTTCTTCTTAACAATAAAGTCGTTCCTCCATTCGTTATATCATTTGTGCCTATTATGAGCCCTTTCTACATGTTCTTGAATGGTCATGAACTTGTTTATAAGAAAAATTTGTTTTTATTTAATGATATTTACAAAGAAATTTTTGGTAAAAAGAAAAACCTGAGTAAAAAACTATGCTCTTGGAGAATCGATTTAATTCTTTATCTTATGCGTGTGGCATGGTTTGATATATCTAATGTTATTTATTCAAAATTT